CAATCATGGCAGAAGGCAAAGAAGGAACAGTCACATCTTACACGCCAGTAGGCAAGAGAGAGCCTGTGTAGGGGAACTCCCGTCTATAAAACCATCAGATCTCATGAGACTTATTCACAATCACAAGAACAGCACAGGAAAACCTGTCCCCATGATTCAATTACCTCCCACTGGGTCCCTCCCACGACACATGGGAATTATGGGAGCTACAATTCAAGATGAGATTTGGGTGGGGACACAGTCAACCCATATCAGATAGGTAAAGATATCTTATAGGCATAGGGGAAAGGTCACAGAAAATAATATAAATTTCAGACGTTTTGACCAAAAGCAGATATTTCAATCTTTGATGAGCTTGCTAAAACAGAGCAAAAGAAGCTAAAAGGTCAACGGGAGCAAGGAGTGAGGAAAAAAGAGGAACTAGCAATCAAAACACAGCAATCGGTTTATTCAGTTGTTCACGCATCCCATTATTTAATGGGCACAGTGGAGTGTCACTCATCTAGTAAATTTTCAATCGGTGGTGGCCATTTTAAATGTGCATTTGTGTGTTTAAATGTGTGGTTGACATTTGTTTTCTCCTGTCCTCTGTTATACGTCTTTGGATAATTCCACAAGATGACTTGGCCTTATAGTCTTGCAAGAACTAAGATTTTTGGCCTGAAACTTAGTCTTGGCCATCAGTAGTAAATTTAAAACTAACATCCCTCAGGAAGTACTAGAATTAGCTAAACAAGGGAAGGAAAAAATGGATAAAGTCTGTGACTAATTATACTACCAGATAATAATGACAATTCAGTTCATCTCTGGAAACTCCTAGCAAGTAGTCATCTCCAAAATACCCTTCATATTTTCATTAACTGGTCTTGGTTGAGTGTCCATCACCTTCAAGGTCTCCATGGTCACTTTATTCTCCAGAAAACAACAGAACAACCAGCCAATGGCAGAGGGAAGTCCATGAGAACATGGATTATTACATCATCTGGGCTTAGGAAACTTATGGTATTTTTAGAGGATATAATCTAGGAACCTCCAGAAACAGTGAGGATATGCTACAAAATCCTGGATTAAGCACCAGGTGCTTAAAATGAAACATCTTTCCTGTTCCCGAATTTTCTCTCCCTTTTCCTTTCGGACCCTAATGGCCTAATTTTTTTCAATCTCCTCCCCCAGTGCCCAGGGCTGCATTACCCACTTCCTGGAGCTCAGACCCTCTAACTTCTGGAGGCATGTTCACCCCCTGACATTATATCAGGCGTGTTCACATGTACCCACCTCCCACATGAACAGGTAACTATTAAGAGCTGTTACCTGCTGGTATGTTAGCACAGTACTCTTTTAGACTTTTGATTAGACATTTATTAATTTAACACATTTTCTTTTTATATGTTAAAGACAATAAAGTATCCTCTTGAAAAAATTAATACATTGGAATTCCTTGGTTTGGACTTCACCCTCTGACCTACCGGCCCTGGCTGACCTCTCACTGCAGACAGGACACGTGTGTAGATAAGTGAGTCTCTCTCTGTCTCTCTCTCAATATCAAATAATATATTTAGAGAAGAGGCAGTTATTAATTAATCAAGGGCTTATTATCCAGTTCAAACTGGGGCCAGGCTCTTGATTTTCTCCTTTATTCCTTTCTCCCAGCCTTGTGGATGTTGAGGCCACCATTGCCAGTCAGCAAGGGAAGAAAGTAATTACTTTTTTACATAGCAGTCATAGCAGTTCAAACACTAATTCTTTGTTTCTTTATTCTTTTTCCTTTTTTTTTTTTTTTTTTTTTCTTTTTTTTTTTTTTTTTTTTTGAGATGGAGTCTCAGTCTGTCACCCAGGCTGGAGTGTAGTGGTGCAATACTGACTCACTGCAACCTGTGCTTCCTGGGTTCAAGCAATTCTCCTGCCTCAGTCTCCTGACTAGCTGGGATTACAGGTGTATGCCATGACACCTGGTTAATAATTTTTTTGTTGCATTTTTGGTAGAGATGGGGTTTCACCATGTTGCCCAGGCTGGTCTCGAACTCCTGACCTCAAATGATCCACGTGCCTCAACCTCCCAAAGTGCTGGGATTACAGGCATGAGCCACCACGCCAGGCCCAAACATAAATTCTTGCAAAGTCTTTCAATAGTCACTGTACCTGGATCCTTCCTAATTCCTCTTATTCCATTAATTAAACTGGATTATCTCAAGCTAATCATATACAGAATCTTGATTTAAAACAAAACACTCTCTACCTGGCCATGCCATTTGAAGGACATTTGATCCTGTATCCTGGCGTGCGTGTGTGTGTGTGTGTGTGTGTGTGTGTGTGTCAGAGAGAGAGAGAGAGAGAGAGGTGTCATCTAACATCCTCTACGTGTAAATAAACAGTCTTTGGAGGTGCACAAATAGGTTAGCCCAGTGACCTGCCTCGCAAGAATGCTTTGAAGAGTTACTAGTTAGAGGATACAAGATACTACGGAAACCTAAATTGTTTCTGAAAATGCTAAACAATAAGACATTTCTCAAAAGTGCCTCAGTCCCTTCAGTATTTTACAGGAATTCCAACTCTAGCAGCTTTACACAGGCATTATCACTTAATTACCAATAAAAATCTCACTAGCAACTTCCATAACTTCATTTGCAAATGAATATGCACACCTCCTAAATCATTCCCTCCTTTTCTCTCTCCCTCTCCCCAAGTTATTCCCTGACTGATTCTGAGAGACTCCACTGCAGCTGGGATTTGTAGAGGCCCCCCATTTCCAGGTGTCCTTCCAGGCCAGCGTGCACTCTGGGACATGTCAATACCACGTTGATGGAATTGTACCTGATTCCCACTCAAACCCATCCATCCCTCCTGGCATTGGTGGGGGTCGACACATGACAGAAACCTGGTTCCATTTGCTTGAAAGGTTCACAAGCCACAGTGAACTTCTTTTTTGTTTGGTTTTGTTTTGTTTGGCTCTGTCGCCAGCCTGGAGTACAGTGGCGCGATCTCGGCTCACTGCAACCTCCACCTCCTAGGTTCAAGTGATTCTCTTACCTCAGCCTCCCAAGTAGCTGGGACTACAGGCATGTGCCACCACGCCCAGCTAATTTTTGTATCTTTAGTAGAGACGAGTTTTCACCATTTTGGCCAGGATGGTCTCCATGTCGACCTCATGCCCACCTTGGCCTCCCAAAGTGCTGTGTTTACATGCATGAGCCACCGCGCCCGGCCCCCATAGTGAACTTCTTAGTGATCCAAGGCCAAGTTTCCAGTATGTCATGAAAACTGAAACCTGGTTTTGAGTTTCCAAATTCACACAGAGCCAGTCATGACGGAAAGATGTGTGAGGCAGCAAGGGCTAGTAGCACCACAGCACAACTGAGACACTCAGCACTTGGTTCTATTTCTAGCTCTGCCACCTCCTTGCTATGTGGCCTGAGGCTGGTCACCTGCTCTCACTTAGTTACCTTTCCCTAGAACTGGGGGAGAGGGGAGCTTTTTACCATGTTGTTCCAGGACCTGAGGGTGTGTATGCTGAAACAGTAGCATTCCTCTGAATCTCTTTGAATTACAGTGCACACATCTTCAGGATATCACAGGCATCCCATCCATACCAACACGTGCCTTCTTTCCCTAGTCATTTTTCTTCAACTATTCCCCTTTGAGCTGGGCTAAGAGAACAACATTCTGGACTCATTCCTTAGGTGCGCTGTTGGTCGTCTCACAGACTTAAATATATACATCTGTCCCACTTTTAGAGAAAATAGGACCAAAATCTATTACATGTATTTTAGGCCCTCTATCTGAATTCTGAAGTCTTGCTCTGACTTCTTTTTCGGCTTCAGCTTTTGATTTCAGGCACATTCACACTTGTTTAGCTTTCAACTTACAGAGAATGCTGGAAAAGAGATTCATGTATTATTTAGAGCATTCATCCAAATGCCCTCCCAGATCCCTTCTAACTCCATGAGGTCCCATGAGTCTGTGAAATGCATGGGCAAAGGAAGAGGAACTGAGGCTTTGAAGTCAGATATACCAAGTTCCAATTCCTTATTCTCAAATTTACTAGTTGTGTGACTTTGGGTGAGCTGCTTAACCTTATAGGAGACTAGGGTCCTCATCTAAAAACCTGGGCCAGTGCCAACTACGGAGCCATGACTGTGAGGATTAAATGAGACATTACTTCCATAAAAACATGGAACAGAGTGTGAGGCATACAGTAGGTGACAAGGCAGATATTAGATCCTGCTTTTCATTACTGGTGCAAGTCTCTGGTGGGTCAAACATGTGGGATGTCGTATATTTGAATATTGCTTCAGTCTTCACTTCCATGGTTTTATTTCAAAAAGAGAAAGAAAGAAGGAAATAAACAGTAACTGTCAGAGGCCTTTCGGAAAGCATCACCCATCCATTGAAATGTGCTTTCCATTCAAAAACTACCTTATTAATTATTCATTGCTTTTGGAACTGAAAATGAGAACAGAGCTTAAGACCCAGAGTTGGACAAGAACAGTGTTCCAACTGCTTGATTTCTGTCATTTCCTGGTATCTAGGCAGTACGTCCCAAATCTGAGATTTGCAGTTTCAGGAGTCAAGCAAACTTTAGGCTTGATGATCAGTCAGGTTTAGTCAGGTTTAGCCAATGCCCTGGAATGACTCTTCTCTTTACTTTCATTTCCACTCCCGGCTCTGCATTTCTGGGGGATTATTTCACTGCATGGGTGGCCCGAATCCCTTGGCCTTCAGCCTTATGGCTCGTTCCACCGCTCTGGGCAAGCCATAACCACCCGAACATGCAAGTCTTTCTTTCGTGCCCCAGTGGCATGAGGAACATCATTAACTCTTCAGGGCTGAGGTTTGGGATTACGTAAAAATCTTACATCCCCCTGTGTTTGCAGTCAGAACACCAGAGTAACAGAGTGTTTGCAGGGCTTGTTTTCATGCCAGAAATGAGGTTGCCCTAACACACAATCCTTGAGATGTTTTTTCCCTAACGATTGTACTTCACCGGGATTGTGGGTTACAAAATGGAAGCTCAGTGCTTCCGGCTTCGAGTTCCAGTAGAACAAACGTGCAAGAGACTCCTCGGCTTGGAAACTCTTCAGACCGGGGAAAGGCTGCCGATGTGTCCCAGGAGGGGAAGGGCAGGAGGAGCACAGCTGTGCGGGGCGGCGGGTGTTTCACATGCATCTCTAAAGATGAGCTTCCTAAAGTGTAAAAAGGCAGGGGAAAGACACATTTCCCAAGGCCTGGGGCCAGTGCGGGGACAAACGCAAGGCTGGCGTGCGTGCATTGCGGGTTCCGCGCGCCATCTGGTGGCTTCGGGCTGGCATTGGGCGCACCATCCGGGCTTTCACCCCATTGACAGAGACTTCATAGAAGGAACCCATTGTGGGCGTTTAAGTTCTGTTGGAAGTGATCACCAGGAGGACACCAAGGGCCAGATGTTCCAAATTCCACTCCTTATCCTACAGTTGGACACTGAAAGCCTCAGGTTCTCTTTGACAAGGGGGCACTGATCCTTCCTTCAGGACCAGCCTTCCTATCACACAGCAATGTGAGCACTCAGCTCTGGGCAGCCTGGCCCCTCTGTGCCTTGCTTTCCACATCATGACCCCGCATGACGGGCCACAGGAGTCTTCCCTTTGCCCCTACCTGGAACGTGTGTATTCCCTTCCAGCCTTCTGAATCCTACAGTTCTCAAGGCTCAGTCCACAGACATCTTTACATCCTTAGAATATTTGCCTCATAATTTGTTCATACTAGTGTTTCCAAAGTGTGTTCCAAGAACGATGGTTTTATTCATCAGAACTGTATCTCTTTTTGAAAAGGCATTCAAAGTTTGGGAAAGTCAGGGTTATGCAAAGGTTGAACAGACGCGATTGCAGGATATCTCAGGAGCATTATGCATACTGAGAATGTAGTGGATTTCTAAGAAGGAACTACAGTTTGCTATAGTTTCTAAACTTGTTTGACATCCAAACCTTCCTCCTATCTCCACTTCTGAAGTGTATGTTGCCAATATTGCATTTAATAAAACAATTTTAAGGAAAAGTAGCGTCCTGTTCACTTGACCCATGATTATGTAGCTATCTTTTTAAAACTGGAAGACATCTGTATTCGTTTGCTAGGGCTATTATATTGCCTCACAGTTGTGGAGGCTGAAGGTCCAAGACCAATGTATTGGCAGGGTGTGTTTCTTCCGAGGCCCCTCTCCTTGGCTTATAGATGGTCATCTTCTCTCTGTGTCGCCACATGGTCTTCCCTCTGTGCCAATCCGTGTCCTAGTTGCCTTCTCTCTCTTTTTTTTTTAATTTCTTCTGCTCCTCCTCCTCCTTCCTCTTCTTCCTCTTCTTTCTCTTCTTCTTCTTTTTAAGATGGAGGTCTCACTATGTTGCCCAGGCTGGTCTCGAACTCCTGAGCTCAAGAGATCCTTCTGCCTCAGCCTCCCAAAGTGCTGAGATTACAGGAATGAGCCACTGTACCCAGTCCTAATTTTCTCTTCTTATAAGGACATCAGTTATATTGGGTTAGGACCCACCAACATGACCTCATTTTACCTTAATCATCCTTTTAACGTCCCCATGTCCCACTACAGTTACATTCAGAGGTAGTGGGGGTTAGGACTTTAACAAAGGAATTTTGGGAAGCCACAATTCAGCCCGTAACAACATCTTATTATTGTATCTGTAGGGTAAAATGTATGCTTCAATGGAAAATTATGCATTGTTTAGAGCAGGGTTGGCCAACTACAGCCAGTAAGCCAGATCCAGTTAGTCACCTGTGTTTGTAAATAAAGTTTATTGCACACAGCCACATTCACCCTTTACATTTTGTCTAAGATTGCTTGCATGTTCAATGGCAGTTGAATATCTGTACAGAAACCATATGGCTTGCAAAACCAAAAACATTTACTATCTAGCCCTTTGTAGGAAAAGGTCTCTAGAGCCCACCCACTCTTCAGGGTTATCTAATTTTGATCCTATAGGGGCTCTGCATCTTTCGTGGCCTTTGAGCTATTTTACAACTCAATAAGTTGGACATAATGGATAACAATGCAAAACAATCCTTGCCTACAGAAGAGAAGCAGCCAGTTTTGCCTCAGTTTGCTTATTCCTTTCAGTATCCTTGTCAATAAATGTGTGTCTTTTTTGGATTCTCTTTTGAACTGGCTGTAGCATCTTGTAGTTTCCTCATTAATAATGAATTGAATAAATCTTTAACTTTTTTTAGTATCTGTACGAGTCATAATTTTACCTTTTTTGGAAAAAGTATCCTTTAAAATACCAATGTTAAGCTTCTTGAGTGTGATAATGGCATTGGGATTATAAAAGACAATGTTTTTGCTCTTAGGAGTACATGCTAAAGCACTTAAGGTGTGTCACACGCGTCCGTGTGAAGAGAATCCACAAACAGGCTTTGTATTAGCAACAAGGCTGTTTGTGTGACAAGGTGAAGTGTCATCATGCTTACAATTTGCTTTCAAATGGTTTGGCATATATGAATACAAATGTGTGTGTATCTGTACATACTCACACATACATCACATATATAGGAGGAAAGAGGGAGAAAGAGAAGGAAAATTGGTAAACTATAAACAACTAGTGAATCTAGGTGAAGTAGGGTGTCCTTGAATGGTGTACTATTCATTGAACTTTTCCATATGTTTGACAAATTTCAAAGTAAAAAACTGGGCAAGGGGGTATAAGTTGATGTCATATTCCTCATTAAGCGTGTTGTCAGCTTCATGTCCTATTCTTCTGGATATTTTTCCAGTACTTCAGAGATGAGCCAATTAGAGATGTTTGTTAGTAGTCTGACTTTTTGCAGTGGGTACTGCAAATAAGAAAAAGTAAATGATTGGGAGGCCGAGACCAGTCAATTGCTTGAGTCCAGGAGTTTGAGACCAGCCTGGGCAACATGGAGAAACCTCAGGTCTATAAAAAATAAAAAAAAAATTAGCTGGACATGATGGCATATGCTTGTAGTCCCAACTACTAGGGAGGCTGAGGTGGGTAGATGGCTTGAGCACAGGAGTTCGAGGCTGCAGTGAGCTATGATCATGCCACTGCACTCCAGCATGTCTCAAAAAAATAAAGTAAATGAAACATGAAACATTAATGTTTCTACTGTCACATGGCTCAATTTCTTCTGGAATTCTTAATAGTACCAAGCAAATAAGATGTTAAAGTAGAATTTTTTTAAAGCTAGTTATATCCTATTCCGAAAGAATGCTCTTAAAAAAATAAAATCTTTTGGCCGGGTGTGATGGCTCACACCTGTAATCCCAGCACTTTGGGAGGCCTAGGCTGGCGGATCACCTGAGGCCAGGAGTTCAAGACCAACCTGGCCAATATGGTGAAACTCTGCCTCTACTTAAAAAATACAAAAATTAGCCAGGCGTGGTAGCGGGTGCCTGTAGTCCCAACTACTCAGGAAGCTGAGACAGAAGACTTGCTGGAACCCGGGAGGCGGAGGCTGCAGTGAGCTGAGATCACGCCACCGCACTCCAGCCTGGGCGACAGAGCGAGACTCCGTCTCAGAAAAAAAAAGAAAAAAGAAAAGAGAGAGAGACAGTAGGAAGGAAGGAAGGAAGGAAGGAAGGAAGGAAGGAAGGAAGGAAGGAAGGAAGGAAGGAAGGATCTTTCAGGACAAACCCTGGATCTGAGGACCTCTTACACTGTGTTCATGTTCAAGCTTAAGGCATTACTTTTTGTAGTGTGTTTGGGGTGGGAGTGGAGGTTAAAGTTTGTGTCCCTCAATGACTGCACAGTTTTGCACACTGTCCCCACCCCACCCCAGCTTGACATCATGGTCTTAATACAGTCAGAGACCTCATTCATTGCAATTTCACTGCTGCTTCAGCTAGAACTGTAAGATTCAGAGCTCTTTGCATACTTAGAGGTATGAATAGTGCGGTAACAATGAGGAAAGAAAGTAAGCTAAATTCTCAAACATTATGTCATTTAGCATAAAGGTTTAAGATTGAAATTTTCTGCCTGAGGGAAGCAGAAAAAAATGAGTTTGTACAGAATGCTTCCTGTCTCTGAATGTAAAAGGCACACTAAAAATAGCTAAAGGGACTGAGTCGCCTAGAGGCTTCTTGGGTTGCCCAGTGGGAGTTCCTGCTCGGAGAAGCTGTCCTTCAAAGCTGCTGCTGCAAACAGCCCTGAGACCGCTGGTGTGTGATGCAGAGCTCTCCTGGGCAGACTTCATTTGGTCACAAGGAAGCAGGAGCTGAAACAGATGGAGATGTTTCTTAATGGAAGGATCCCCTAGGGGCAGAAATGTTCTACCTCTGACAGAGACTGACAGTCCAGAAGGTAGAGGCACATTGTGGGCTCAGAGACCAGATCTTCCTGAAATCAGGGTCAACCAATCGCAAACGGGCACTAACCTCAAAGAAAGAGTCCTTTCTTTCCGTGGCCACTGATACGGTGTCATTTAAGACCCTGATTTTTTCTTGTCTGGGCTATTGCCACAGCCTCC